GAAGTCTGTCACTAAATTATCTTGATGACGTTTATACCCCTCTTCTAACAATAAAGTGAAAATGGATAAATTCTGCTCCAAAAAAAATCGATAAATTGAAATACTTAACAAAGAGTAATAAATATAGGATTTAGGATAAAGTTAAAGTCGTTATCTTGTTGATTGGAACACATTTTATACTAAAGTTTACACTTTGTACTTATAGCTATGGTTCAAAATAAATGTTGTTTTCCACTTAATTGAATTGAAGATCTCCATTGATCATTGGACCTACGCACTAAATAATCCAAAATTTATTACTCTTTGTTTCTTTGTGGGACACTCTAAAATAGTTATTTATTTATTTATTAAGAATTAATTCTTGAAGTCGAATATATGGGGCAAATTACGGCCACCCCTGAGGTAAGGTCAAATTATGAAAACACCCCTTTAGTTTGCATAATTACAGTTACCCCATCAACTATATATTATTTTACTTGTCCACTCTTACCGTGTCAAATTTACTTAGGGTGTTCATCCGGTTTATAAACCGACCGAAATCGATTACCGAGCAATTCGGTGCAATATTCCATTTTTTATTATTTTTTTTAGGGTAAATTACAATCACCCCCTGAGGTATGGTGAATTTACAAAAAAAAAAAAAAAAAAAAAAAAAAAACCCTCTTTTTTGGATAATTACATCTACCCCTCAACTATGATTTTTTCTTACACATCCACCCTTATGGTGCCAAATTCAACATAATTATCTAGATTTTGTGGAATATGCTCTAGTTTGTACTCGTTTTGTGTAAAAATAAAGTTTCTGATGCCCCAGAATCTGATATATACAAGTCAAAAACACATATTATGATCATCTTGCTTCAATATGTGGAGTTCGAATGAGATAAAATTGGTACAAAAGTGATAATATGCCATATAATATCAAAGATTCCACTAAATTTGAAACCGCAAAGGTGAACGTGTAAGAAGATTTATAGTTGAGGAGGGTGGTTGTAATTACCCAAATAGGAGGGGGTTTTGGTAATTCGACCATACCTTAGGGGTGGTTGTAATTTACCCTTTTTTTATATATATAATTATATATGTAATATTAGTATTTAAACTAAAAAAATTAAAAAAAAATCAAATTTTTAAATATTTTTAATAAAATTTCGGTAATTAGGTTATTTATCGCATCGAATGTTAACCGGTATGAAATTTTGGCGTACCGAAATTTTAGTACATTTTTTACCGAATGAACACCACTAATTTTACCAACTGGAAGGATTTTTTCGTAAGATAATACATAGTTGAGGGTGCGGCTGTAATTATACAAATAAGATGGATTTTTCGTGATTTAACCTTACCTTAGGAGATGGCTGTAATTTGCCCAAATATATATGAAGTTCTAAGAGGTTTATTTTCTGCACTTTATTTTACCGGTGACGATATTATTGTTTCTTGTATTGATCATAAATTGAAAGCGAATATCAATTTAAGAATTATGATCAAATGTCGAAAGTCGGGACTTGAGAATCGAAGCCGTTGAAGCCCTGATAAGGCAAACGAGCTAAAAGGTTCCTATACGGATCCTTTTCTCGTTTCTCCTTCAAATAAACAATGCATTTATCTATCTCATTTTGTATCTCTAAGTACATTTCCTTAGCTTTATCTTTGTTTCTCAATATATCCTCCCTTCCTATAAACACAACACCGAAGCAAGATTTGCGATCTGAATCACTCTCGTGCAAACGGAAAAATAAATTGGAATAAAATAATTGTTTCCATAATTCAATTGCGTATATAGATAACCTGCTGTTGGGATTGGCTTCCCGAATAGGAAATAAAAGCGACCGGGCAATTTGGGAAGGGCTATTGGATAGTACAGGAGTTGCTTTCCAACTTCGCCTCCAGCATCGGTCCTGCATTGCCGTCACAACCAAATGAATAAATAAATAAATAAATAAAATTAGGGCAAATTACGGCCACCCCCGAGGTATGACCAAATTACGAAAAAAAAACTCACTTGTTTGGATAATTACAGCCACCCTCTCCTTTTAAATATTTTTACATAAAATTTATGTAATTCGGTTATTTATCGAACCAAATCGCATATTCAGTTCGGTAAATGGTATGAAATGTTGGCGTATAAAAATTTTGGTTCGCTTTTACCGATTTAACATCCCTAAATTTACCTCTGGAGGGGGTATTTCGTAAGATAATATATAGTTGAGGGGGTGACTGTAATCACCCAAACAGGAGAGGGGTTTCGTAATTTGACCATAACTCAGGGTTGACCGTAATTTGCCCATAAAATTAAATAAAAAATGGTAATGTAATGTGATTAATTACCTTAACCTAACCGCTTCGTTGGTTAGTTCTTCTATCAAAGACTTGAGGGGCGGAATCTTCATTTGATCATCGGAGTCTAACAACAACTGCTCAAAAAAGAGTTGCATCTTATATTAGCGAAAAATGAGCATTTTCAATATACCTTTCGAAACTAATTAAGGAAGGGAAATCCAACATAAAAGCCGAGGTGACAAATTACGAAAAAACCCCTCCAAGTGGGTAATCACAACCACCCCTCAACTATGAATCTTCTTACACGTCTATATTTGCGGTGTTAAATTTAGTGAAATCTTCTAGATTTTTTGTTATATTCTCCAGTTTGTACCTGTTGTGCCCCATTCGAGCTCCACATTTTGAAACAAGATGATCATAATATGTGTCTCTTAGCTTGTAAACATCAGATTGTAGTACATCAGATAGTACATCAGAAACTGTATTTTTGCACAAAACGAGTACAAACTGGAGAACATTTCCCAAAATCTAGAAGATTATATTAAATTTGCTACCATAAGGGTAGATATGTAAGAAGATTTATAGTTGATGGGTGATTGTAATTACCCAAAAATGAGAGGGTTTTTTCGTAATTTGACCATACCTCAAGGAGTGACCGTAATATACCCTAAAATAAATAATCAATAAAAATTGAGAGTGTGGCGAAACTTACTTGAAGAACATCATCCTCCCCAACACCTCCAAAAGGTACAATTTTCGCTCCAAATTTGACGGCCATTCTAACAAACTCCGGTTCAACGGGCCAAATCAATTTGTAATCCTCACCCTGATAGCACAATGAATTGAAAATATAAATGTCTCATCTACGAGTGAAAATCAGATGGATTGGAATAGAATCAGAATTAAGACTTTTCGTAAATCACGAAACCCCCCCCCCCCCCCCCCCTAAATTTCGGCTAAATTACGAAAAAAAATCAACATATCAATAATTACCAAAAACCCCTTCCGACTAACTGTTGACTGAGTTTTTTAATAGAAAATATGTAAAGTCCATTATAATTTATACCCCTTCAGTTAAATATGTGAATAGTAAATATCGATTCTACCCTCTGTAGACGTGGCCTTTTTTCGAAAAAAAAAGATTCCGTGAAAATATGTTAAGTCTATTATACCCTTCTGTTAAATTAGGAAATTTGTTTCTAATTTCAATCCCCGATAAAAATAAATTTGGATAATCGAACATCGGAAAGAAAAAAAAAATCTACTTTGATGTCAAAAAATTTCTGATTGGAACTGATGGATTTAAAAATACATTTCTGACTTCCACCCCTAAAACTGTGATCCCATACCAAGATTTACTAATACCAAGACTAAAATGTCTTGGAAAGAATCTTGTGTAAATAGCATTTAACCCTATGTGGTTACAAGCTTGTGCAAATGAACCCCTTATACTTCTAATGTCAGCACATAACCCCTCGTGGTTGATGGGTAGCTTCCGTTAGTTTTTCCGTCAAACTTAACCCTCAGTGTTAAACGTCAAAGCAATTCTTTTTGCAAATGACCCCCTTCTGCTTTCATTTTCCCATGACCCCCTTGAAGTTTGACACACGCGATTAAGTTTGACGGAAAAACTAACAGAAGCTACCCCATAAACCACAAGGGGTTTATGTGTTTGATAGTACGAGCATAGGGGGTCATCTGCAAAAGCTTGTAACCACAGGGGTTAAGTGATATTTACCCAAAAATCTTTAAACAAGACAAAAAAAAATGCTGATTGGAAATACCTTCCGATGATACCCCTCTCGTATACCACCCGGAAAAAGCAACACATGAGACTTCAACTTAAAAAGTTTATACATGTTAGCTGCTGTAACTGGAACTGCACCAAGAACTCTGAACACATCGAAGAAGGACAAATCTGGTAATTTTCCATCCTTGGTCAGTCGTTCAAAATATAACGGATGTGCCATCGTCCGGACCGTAATATTCCTCTCGATCACGAACTTGGAAACCAACGGTACAAGATCCATCGCCAACATCATGTGGTTACCGACGAATAATACGGGCCCTTCTGAAGGAATTCCAGAAAGCCCTCGGATTATTTTTCCGTTGTCCAAAGTCGACAGCATTACGGGATTCACAGCCACATCCATCCATCTGAGGTTTCATTTAATTTTCAGTTTATGTGATTAATGAGTAATAATATAATTAGATACATAGAATTGATTTCAGACGAACCGAAATCCTAAACGGGGCAGCAGTTTTTAATTTTACAACAATGTATTAAGACGAATTTAATATAATGGGTATTTTACCTGAACGGATCATAAACCATGTCAAATTCAGAAGGGCTCGGTGGCATGAAATCCGAGATAAAATCAACGGATCTTCCACGTCGATAATAGCTGGCGCGCTTTATGGCCGCTGCCAAATCAAAAGTATCATCCTGTAATAAATAAATTGAACCAACAAATTATTGCATTTTTAAACGAGCTATGTAAAATTTTAATTTTTGTAATATTTATTTATTTTATTTTATTTTATTTGGAATGAATATTTTCCTTACCAAGAATAGAGGGTCGCCGTTGCCGATAAACGAACGAACCTCACAACGTTTGAGAACGCTACGGAGATTTTCTTGTTCTGTTATGCTCGACAGAAGAATATCCTTCCCACTGCATGGAAAATAATAATCCAAAACTTCGATCGAATATATGTAATATAATTAAATAAAGGTGTATTTTAGTTTATTATTTTTTTCAAGTTGAGATTGGGAGTCGAATCGATAACCTGTTAAGTATCAGTGTCTGAGCGTCGACGGTACGAAGATTCGAGTTCAAATGATTTTGCATCTCATTAATCATATTCAGCTTCCATAGAATTGTTTCTACTGTTAATTCCATCGATAAAGTTAATATTAGTAAGCCGAAAAAATATAATATATTAGACAAAAAAAAAATCTCGAACAATGAAGAAAACGGAAAACCTGGTATCGAACTAATTGAACGATGTTTATCAATTATATCCCACAAAGGCACAACGTTTTGCAGCAAGGATTTGCTCAAACTTGTAGCTGCCACGAGATTATATAAAAATAAAAAATCGCAAAAAATTGTAAAATGTGTCTTAAATTTTACGGGTCGGATAACTTAAAACGGCACAATCCCGCTCACCTGGATTAGCCAGGATTAGAACGAGATCGATATCAGGGTTTTGAGCAGCAACAACTAGTGCAAGTGATGCTCCAAAAGATTCCCCGACAAGATATATCGGTCTCTTTGCTGCTCGATTATGCTCTGATCTAACTGTACTCTGAACCAACTTCACTAGGTCTAGCAGATCAAACAAATTAAAAACAAAAAAAAATTAATAATTTCATTTTTCTCGAAAATCGACATGCAAAAATATCAGAGAGAGAGAGAGAGAGACCTGCCAAGGGTGTTCGATCCGTTACAGGAATGTGCAAACACCACACGTCAAAAATCCTTCACGCACAAAAACGAGAGAATGGATAGCATAAATTACGAAGTGTTAGAATTAAATATCAAAATAAATAAACGGCATATTTGCAGGAATTCGAAATTAAATATAACAACTTACTCTCCGAGTCGTTCGTGGTGCAACGTAAGACCATGTCCAGAGCCATCAATTCCTGAAACCTTAATTTTTTCATCAAAACTTACAACATTTTTAACAGATCTAATTAACAAGATAAATAACATCAAGATCACTGAGTACTACTCAAATGTAGACGAAGCAAGTGTTCAAAAAACATGTCTCGATTTCAACACTAGAATGTTAAAATTTCACCGACATGCAAAATTATAACAATAAGTTTCAATTATTTGATGTACTTTGTTCCTTGACTAGGTACTGTGTTATTTTTCGAAATGATCCCACACATACAATTAGTAAGTTATAACTTTAAAAAAATCTAGTCGTTTTTTTTCCTCAAAATCGGGATATGTATACTGATTTTCTCGAATCAACATTACGTCTGATGAAATACACGAATAGTTTTCATATTTGATTAACACATATAATTACACACATATACATGTGGATGTGTGTAAACGAGCGAGTCCACCCTCAATTTATAATTTCCCCCCTATATTATTCCTATATATCTATTTCCTCCACCCAATTTTTAGTAATTAGCCCGCCCTAAATATAAATTAATGCAAAAAAATCCCAATTTTAATAATTAGCCACCCAAAATCCAAATTAATGCAAAAAATATTATTTTATTTTCTCTTCTTTTTTCATTTTCATATTTTCTGTTTTTGTCACAAAAAAATCCTAATTTAAGTCCACCGTGTAACAAATTCTTGGATTCGCCATTGTATAAACGTGTATGAAATTATACATGTGTATTGGTATAGATAGTATAATTCACCCGGTATAGCATTCGATTAAACAGGTCGAACTAAATCAAAAATAAAGAACATAAGACGACGACAGTATTTCCTATTACAAATTAGAGTAAATTACACTCACACCCATCAGGTGTGCTAAAATAGCTTTAAGGTCCCAGTGGTATCGGTAATTACACTCACCCCTTGAAACATAGTTTAGAAAGTGTAACGGGATAATCTATTGGATACACCGTTCCGATAGAATTCTAACGGACTATTAGTTCCAGGAAGTGTTGAAGACAACGCAGAGCTATGGGTGATTTAAGAAATGTTGGGGAGCCACGTCACCTCCTAGCTCTATGTTGTCTCCACCACTTACTAAAAGTAATAGTCTGTTGGAATCCTATCGGAATAACGAATCCAATGCATTATCCCATTTCTAACAATGTTTCATGAGTGATTGTAATTACCGATATCACATGGACCTTATAGTTATTTACGCATCCCTCAGGGGTGTAGGTGTAATTTACCCAACAAATTAAGCTGCCGATGTACTCAATCAAGACTCTGAAAATCAGTCTACAATTAGATCTACGTATATAATTTTAGAAACTCATTTAAACACCAGTTATAATCTCAACGGCTCTTAAATCTAAAAACAGTCACAACTTTAGTAAATAATAATTTATAAACCAAAATTTCTAAATCTCGCAAAAAGAAAAAGTAGAGAGAGAGAGAGAGTTGTATGAGAGAAGAAATTAACCTGGTAAGAAGAGCAAGAGAGGAGAGTTTGTTGACCTGCTACACCCGCACTCCAGCGGCGAAAACCACCGCGGCGGCCCGCCGCCGTCGACCTCCGTCAACTTCTTCGATTGCTCCGCGTAATAACCCGAGCTCAAACTGCTCTTCGTCTTGAAGCTGCTTCCGCTCACGCGCGGGCAGCTGCGGCCAGTCGGCCGGTAACTGAGCTTCTGATGGGTTGTCTGCTGGTGGCGGAGAACTGTCGGGAAAGCGGCGGCGAGAAGTCCATTTTCGACCATCGCCGCCATTGATGGGGAGTGGCCTGCCTGCTAACGTGTACTCCAGGCGTAGAGTAGCATACAGAAATTGGACACTTCATTTTTAAATAGTCAAATTCATCGATAGATATTTGTGCAGTCAAAATTTATTGAGATCCAAAAACAGCCGATCCCCACTACCTGACAATACTGTGGTGCTAGTTGCACAGGGAGCCCTGTTGATTTTTCTTTCATTATTTTTTTCTTTTTCTTTTTTTCTTTTTTTTTCATAATTCAACGGTAATATAGTAAGAGATTGTTCTTTAAAATTTCATTTGATAATATAACAAACCAAAATATTTACAGATTGCCTAAACTCAACTTCAAAGGAAAACAAAAAATATAGGGACACTACAAAACAATTCACTAGTAAAAGTGAGGAGTCCTATAAGTTTGTACTAATTTCACATGTGGTCACATATACTCACGAAAATACATTTGATCTTTCATGTTTGAATAATTTAATATTTTTTGTCGTTGGGGCAAAAATTACAATTTTCATCCCTCAATGTTGCACTGTTTCCGCATATGGTCCCCTATGTTTACAAAAAACAAATTTGGTCCCTCATGTTTCAATAATTTATCAGTTTTCGTCATTTTCGTTAGTTTACCGTCAGTCCGTCACTTAAGGCAATGATGGGAACACGCTGATTTCGTTAATCTTAGCGGAAAATTGACGAAATAGGCTAAAAATGTTGAATTTTAGAAACATGGAGGATCAAATGTGTTTTTTGTGAACACTGTGGACTAAATGTGAAATCGGTGCAAACTTGAGGGATGAAAACTGTATTTTTCCCATTTACAGTTAGTCCGTCAGTTAAGGCAAGTGTTGAGCACATGCTTGATTCCGTTATTACTAACTGAAAATCGACGGATGCGACTAAAAATGTTAGATTTTTAAAACACGAGACACCAAATGTGTTTTGTGTGAACATTGGGAACTAAATGTGAAATCGGTGAAAACTTGAGGGATGGAATTTGTATTCTTCAAACACAACTTTTTTTTTTATTTGAGAATTCAAACACAAATTAAAACATAAACAAAAGCATAACACATTACATAATACATATTCCCCTCAACAAATCCTAAATTAAATAACATTAAAAACATCAACAGTCAACACAACGTGGGAAGCTCAATCTTTGCATTGGTTTCCATTTCTTTTTTTCTTTTATTTCCAATTCTCATAAACGTGGAGGCTACCACCCTTTGCCCTTCTCCTCCATTATCATCATTCCATACAAACTTCAATATGTATCTATCCATCTATATATACATATATGTATTTGCATTTCACTTCCAAAATAGAAGAAAACCAAAACCAAGAAGCAAAAAAGAAAAATGGTTAGCTTATCACCATCATACACTAGTTTGATCCTCTTAGTCGGCCTTCTTTTCTCCGAGGCAACAATTGTCAACTCGTTCGATTACGGCGACGCCCTCGACAAAACCCTCTTATTTTTCGAGGCGCAAAGGTCCGGCAAACTACCCGCCTCCCAACGCGTGAAGTGGAGAGGAGATTCCGGCCTTAGCGATGGCTACGCTCAAGGGGTAAATCCGTAAAATCACTAAAACAAGAAATAGTACTTTATGAATCTTTTTTTTCTTGGAACAATATGTAATTACGAAATCTCGATTTGCTTTGTGCATGGACAGGTGAATTTGGTGGGAGGGTACTACGATGCGGGGGACCACGTGAAATTCGGATTGCCGATGGCGTTTACGGTGACGATGCTATCGTGGAGTGCCGTTGATTTTAGTGGCGATTTGGTGAGTGTTAACCAAATGGCGCATACTTTGGAAGCAATCAAATGGGGGACTGATTACTTCATCAAAGCGCATCCAAAGCCTTTTGTTCTTTGGGGACAGGTACGAAATTACACTTATAATATCAATATTACTACGTATTTATATTATAAAAAATTGGAAATTTGAATTTCGCCTATTCCGTTTCAAAAAAATTCAATATTGAAACACTTTTTTTAATGCAAATTTTCGAAATTCCGATATCCAAATTGTTATGGAACCGTAATGGAAATAGTTTTGCACTTCCGGAAAAAAAAAAAAAAAAAACCCTGTGAATTTTTCAAATTTGCTAATTCCAATCCGATCCATCTGAATTCCACTTAATACTGGTCAATGGTCAATATTACGGGCACAACTACACGGTTCGAATTGATGTTTAATTTGAAGTGCACACCTATATGGATGTATGTATTTTGTGTACGTGTGGATATTCGGTAGCATCTAATAGAGCTATTACTACAAATTATATGATAATTAAGTATGTAAGTCTTAGCAAGTTTATGATGATTAATAAAGGTCGATTCTCGTGTTTAATTAGGTGGGAGATGGAGCGTCGGATCATTATTGCTGGCAACGAGCGGAGGATATGACAACATCGAGGACCGCTTACAAGCTAGACCCCGAGAATCCGGGATCGGACCTCGCCGGAGAAACCGCTGCCGCCCTAGCTGCCGCCTCTCTTGCTTTCAAGCCCTATGATTCCACCTATTCCGAACTTCTCCTAGTTCATGCAAAACAGGTGACTCTTCTATTTATTTTATTTTATTTTCTAAATATAATATAATTGCTATAAAACAAAATATGAATAGATTAATATCATTTTTATTCTTGTTTTTTTTTTCAGATATTTTCATTTGCAAATAGATTCAGGGGATTCTACGATGAGTCAATTGGAAATGCCAAGCAATTCTACACATCATCTAGTTATGCTGTGAGTTACAATTTTTTTTTTTAATTTATTATTTAACTTCAAATATAAAATAAATTATTTATTTATCCTAATATTTAAAATTAATTATTTAATTATGTTACCTAGGATGAACTTCTATGGGCAGCCACATGGTTGTACAGAGCAACAAAAGATGAGTATTTCTTGAAATATGTTGTTGACAACTGTGTCTCCCTTGGTGGAACTGGATTGGCTGTTAAGGAATTCTCTTGGGACAACAAATATGCTGGAATTCAAATTCTTCTCTCAAAGGTGCATCTCGAAATTTCATTTTATCAAAAAAAAATTGCAACATTTTCGACACGCGAAAAAAAAAATACTAATCGGAAATTTTATACGGTGTATAGATTTTGCTGGACGGAGCTGGCGGACAATACACTGCTACCCTACAGCAATATCAAGCGAAAGCCGATTACTTTGCTTGCGCTTGTCTACAAAAGAACGATGGCTACAACGTAAAAATGACTCCCGGTTAGTATAATAGCTAAAAGAAGTCGATATTTAAGTATGATTTAAGTATGATTTTTTTTTTTTGTACTAATTTTTGGGTTTAATGTTTTATTAATTAGGGGGGCTTCTCTACGTACGCGAGTGGAACAATCTTCAATACACCGCCTCGTCTGCGTTTCTCCTTGCTGTCTACTCCGATTATCTTGCTAAGTCGAAAAGTGTCGTTAAATGTCCCAGTGTTCAAGTCCAACCTCAAGAACTCCTCACTTTTGCTAAATCACAGGTATGTACACATATACATATATACAGTAGAATCCCGATAAACTAGTAACATCGTTTCAATAATATTTTTTCCCGGCCCCGACTCAAAACAATGTGTTCAAAAATTTTTAGCTGAATTAATAGAATTTGGCTGATCCCAACTGTATTAAATTATAGAGGTTTAACTGTACGTATATGTGTGTGTATATATATATATACTACTATTACTATACTTGAATCAGTGACCGAGCCAGCATATGGCCACGGGGACCATAGCCCCCATTGCTTCTAAAAAATCGAATGTCGAAAAATTGAAAATTTTAAATGTGTGTGTAGGCCGATTACATTCTTGGAAAGAATCCGAAATCGATGAGCTATTTGGTGGGATTTGGACAAAGCTACCCATTGCATGTTCACCATAGGGGTGCTTCTATTACATCCATTTCACTTCTCAAATCCGCCGTTGGATGTGTCGAAGGATTCGAATCATGGTACAAACGTGTGGAGGCCGATCCGAACGTTATATACGGAGCCCTTGTGGGAGGACCAAATGCTAACGACGAGTACTTTGACAGTAGGTCTAATTACGAACAATCCGAGCCGACTATTTCCGGCACTGCCCCTCTTGTTGGACTCTTCTCCAGATTGCACAGATTGCCTGCTGGTAATAAATATGTGAAGAATATATAGCATGAAAATTTGGATTAAATGTTGAAATTTAAATCATGGATTAATATTGTTTGTATTTATTTTCAGGTCCCTATAATCCAGGATCTCCCAATTCTTCTGCTCCTTACCACAAACCACAAGGTTTGTAATTATGTTATCTTGTTGTGGGAATTCTCATTAATCAACTATGTTTCTTGTCACATGATCCAATTGTCGAAATTGGAACGGAATTTTTAAATAATGTCGATTTCTATCAATAATTTTCAAATTTGGAATTTATATAGTTATTTGTTTTCCAAATTTTCAATTTCCTTGTTTTTTTAAATATAATAAAAAATGAACCGTAATCGGAATTTTATATCTTTTTTTATAAATTTCGATACCTGGTCCGATTTTGATTTTCCAAAAATAATTTCAAAAGTTCCAATTTTATTTTAAAGAAGAAAACAAGTCAATAATATTAATGTTATTATAAAATGTATCATATTACTATATATTTTTTTATATATATCAAACTCGAAATTTCCAAATATTTCTCATTCCACTTTCCGAAATTCTGATTTCTAATTTTGGTGAAAAACTTTTGAGATCATAATCGATTTTTCTCTTCGTCAATTTCTTTTTCTTTAAAAATGAAAATACTGATTCTGATCCGATACATCCAATCCTGTCAATTTTTATAGCATTATATTGTCATAAAAAAAGTCCCGATTTTCGAAGAAATTTTCTAACACCTCCAAATCTTGCAGGTCCATCACCCAAGACTTACACACCATCTCCGAAAACAAAACCAGGTAAGGAAGAAACAAAATAAAAATAAAAATAAAAAAATAAAAACATATACGAAAAATAACGGTATACTATTTGATGCAACAGCTGCCCCTGTCGAATTCCTCCACTCGATAACGAGCACATGGACCGTCGGCACCGAAACTTACTACCGGCACAAGGTGATAATCAAGAACGTCTCGCAAAAGCCGATCACGCAGTTGAGGCTCCACTTCGACAGCCTCACCGGATCGCTGTGGGGGCTCAGTCCAACGCAAGAGAAGAACACATACGAACTTCCCGAGTGGCTTAAAGTGTTGGAGCCGTCTTCCGAGTGCACTTTTGTATATATCCAAGGCGGTGCTCAAGCCAAGATTTCTATTCAAAACTACCATTAATCGATTAACAAGAGATCTAGTGCGTGCGTAAAAACGAATTTCGATGTCGTATGATCTTTTTTGTCGAATTTAATTATATCTTCTTTTTGATTGGTTGTTGTATAATTTGATATATATATATATCATGAAAAAATGTGACAGGTGCTTGATATATAATATTAACAATGATACATATATGATTTTTCATGTGATTATATCAAACCTCTGTGTGCTGTTTTTTGTTTTGGTTGAGGAATTTTCTGATATTAAAACAGGGTTTATTGCATTATTATATACTGAGCCTCAATTAACAATTAATCAAGATGAATTGTCTTCTATAATAGATATTTAGCAATGAACACTTAGTAAATACTACTGATTCAAATGCAATTTATATGCACATGTACATTTGGAATTTTGGATCAAACTTTTGGGATCAAAACAACCATAGTAATTACTAGCCCTTAAAGATAGATTCTTTAATTAATCATTTTAGATTTCAATCCCTTGTTTGGTTCGGAATGCCTTGGAATGAGCAGAATTTAAAAAATTTCGAAAATTACATTAGTTTATAATCTCTTGTTCCAAATTCGGATGTAATGGAAATTTTCATAATATTTTTCTTTTTCTTTTCTTTTTTCCTTTTTCTTTTTTTTTTTTTATATATTTTGCAGGAAAATGCAAGAAAATTCAAAAGAGAGTTCTACAAAACGCAATAAATAAAAACACATGTAGGAACAGCAAATTGAAACATATATTTTCTTATAAGGAAAAATATAACATAAAGTTTCTGATACCAATTAATCTTTTCTAAGATTTTATTTACTTGACCCTTCCGTATTTATAATTTTCATATAAAATATAACATAAGTTAAATTATAGAATTAGAAAATATATCATAAAATTATATCATATATTTCAAAAAGCCATATAAATATTCAGAACTAAAATCAGATTTTCCAGTAATTTTATATACCATTCCAATTCCGTTCCAAATCAATTCCAAAGAATCGGAAATTGGAATTTCGAAAATCAGAATAAAAAATACGGTTCCAAATTTGGATATCTTCAGATCAAAATTGATTAGATTCGAAAATTCCATTTCGATTTCCACCGATAACTCTAGTTTTAAATGTTGATATATAGTAGTGTTGTGCTTGCATTCACTATTAAAAAATAAAGATTCTTAGGACAAACAAGATATGTCTGAAGAACCTGGACTGCAAGAATTAGACAAGAAAACAATTAATCAAATGAAGTAGTTAAGTCAACATAAACATATATTGTGTGTGCATCATGTTTATCTGTACATGCTAAGTTAATAAATTAGCATAACCAAATATGTGAGTTGCATTCTTAATAGCAACAAAAATTATAAAGGGTAAATTATGGCCACAAAGATCAAATTACGAAGAACTCCTTATGTTTGGATAATTACAATCATTCTATCAACTATGAATCTTCTTACACGTTCATTCTTGCATTGTCAAAGTTAGTGGAATCTTCTAAATTATGTAGAATATTCTCCAGTGTGTATCTGTTTTGCCCCATTCAAGCTCTACATTTTGAAACTAGATGATCATAAGATGTGTCTTGGCTTGTAAATATCAGAGAAACTGACGTTTGCACAAGAGTCAAGACAAGTACAAACTAAAGAACATTCCACATAATGTAAAAGAATATGTTGAATTTGACACCATAAGGGTGGACGTATAAGAAAATGCGTAGTTGATGGGTGGTTGTAATTATTTAAATATGAAAGATTTTTTTCGTAATTTGACTTTACCCCAGATATGACCCTAATTTATCCGATTATAATTTTTACATATTTTATCATATATTGTATGTGGATGTCTAGGGAAAAAAGGTTTATATTCTAGATTTATTTTTTCTTTCATTTGAAACTCAAAATGGAACCAAAACCAAAAGTATAACTTATTAGGACTTTCCCAAATGAATATATATGGAAGCACATAAGAAAAAATATATAACAAATAAAACCTATAAAAATAAATTCATTTGCTACTTTAAAAAGGGCCAAAAATAAAAAAAGAATATGAAAAAAATCATATAAAAGAATTATACTGCAAATAAAAGCCAGCCACCTCGATAGGTAGTTGATGATCGGTTGTTCTGTAGTTCTCTCTCCGGCCGGCAAAATTTGTCTGCATCCCCTCTCTCACACACACTACACACACTAAACAATGCCTATTTTCACCACCACCACCACCACCACTATATATGTACAATCCCCTTTGACTCACCACCACCACCCACTGTTTCTCCATCAATGGCCGCCTTTTCTACTTCTCCTCCGTCACCGTCTTTCTGTTTCACTTCAATTCCGGTGAAAATTAGGTTCTGGATTTTCCTATTTTTGATCGGAATTAATGATTACTTGCCAATTGCCGATTCCTCCACTCTCGGAGTGGAGTACATTTCGCGGCTCCTGGAGATTCAAGACCGTGAGAGAGCGCCGCCGTCTCTCCAAATCTCCGCCGCTTATGCCGCCGTCAGTCGCCTGATTCCGTCGCACGCCTCCAGCTTTCAGTTCAACATCGTCACTAAGGCAGGCAGTACTTGTGTTCTTATTCCTCTGCCATAATTTTTCATTCGAGTCCTGTAAATATTGCATTATTGCATTGCTTCCTAAATATCAGTTTTACTTATGCTGGAATTGCATCAATTGAGTTCTGCAAATACTAATTTATTTAATTGCTATTATTCGTGCGCTTGGAGCGAGCCACATTGCGTAACGTGTTCGATGAAATGCCAATGTGGACTACAAGTTTGTTGCACCTAGAGCAAGAATTTTCCTCTGTCAATGTAGCTCATCATGAATTTCAGTTTAATTTCAAAAATAAATTTGGCTAATCGACTGAATAAATTACGGCTTACATCCTACTAATGAGAATTTAAAGGATGGCTAGCATTGTAGACCGTTTCGAAAAATATTTTTCGCCTCGTAGTTTTGATTCTTTAAGTTTGAAGAATTTGCTCGAATGAGTTTTTTTCTTCCTCTGCGCTCAAATGAATTCGGCATGGTTATATTATAATGTATTTGTTTTTCTTCTCTTGTTCTTCGAACAGGAATTTTGTGGTGGAGAATCTTGCTTCAAATTAAGCAATTATCCTGCCGTCAATCGTAGTGGTTCTCCTGAAATTGTGTACGTATAATCCCTTTTTTTCATTAAGATTTTCTGTATTTAAATTTTCTTTTTTTGGGGGGATATACACATATTCACAAATTTTTGAACACTTTTTTTTATAAATGTATTCTCTCTCTGGCACTGTCTCACAATATGTGGGTATCTCGGCGTAGAGAGTTTGTGTCTCTCTCCACCGGCACTCTAAAGTATTAGTGTGGGGGCCACATATATTGGAGCGATACAGAGGGGTCTCTCTATTTTTCTATATATATATATATATATATATATATATATATATATATATATATATATATATATATATATATATATATATATATATATATATATATATATATATATATATATATATATATATATATATATATATATATATATATATATATATATATATATATATATATATATATATATATATATATATATATATATATATATATATATATATATATATATATATATATATATATATATATATATATATATATATATATATTCTCGTAAGGATCGGTATTTAATATGTGATTATTCTGTGATAAAGATACGTTTGCATGGTGGGATTGGGAGAGATGGGAGAAGGAAATTGATTGGATGGCTCTACAAGGTATCAATTTGCCTTTGGCTTTCACCGGTCAAGAAGCTATCTGGCAGAAAGTCTTCCAGGTTAATTATTTATAAAAAAATAAATTAATTAAAAAGACCAAAATTGTTTGTTCCGATGTTGTAAGATTCCGACAAATAATTTCTGCAACAAGTTCTTAGTGAAAAACTTATTGATACGAAATTTTTTTTATTGCTTTCTTTCGATCAGAAATTCAATATTAGTGGTTCGGACTTGAGTGATTTCTTCGGAGGGCCGGGATTTCTTGCATGGTCACGAATGGGAAATCTACACGGGTAAGCTTACAATGCGCATTATGCCTAATCACTTTCTTAATCGTGATCTTCTAACATTAATCAGGATGTTTAATTGATTATGTACTGCTGTTCATAAGACTTGCTTAGATTCTATAAACATAGAGTTTCATCGTAATACGCTCGAGCTTCAATTAAAGTCAACTACACCGTTATACTCGTTTGACTCGATCCGAATTACAGGTGGGGAGGGCCATTACCACAAAGTTGGTTAGACCAACAACTTGTAATGCAGAAGAAGATTCTTACACGAATGTACGAACTGGGAATGAATCCAGGTGCTGTAATAAGACCAGTAAATGAACTCATTGTTTGTAATAATTTCTAGCTACTCCTATTAATAATAACGACGACCTTTTGATATATTTATTTTTATTTTTATTTTTATTTATTTGCAATATACAGTCCTTCCAGCCTTCTCTGGTAATGTTCCAGCAGCTCTTAAAAGTGTATATCCATCGGCAAAGATAACACGCCTTGGGAACTGGTAAGTCTTTGACGTAAAACGTTATAGCGTAGTTCTTGATATATTCTCGACAAATATATATTTTACAAAAAGCATATATATGTTTTTTTTCGGTCGTCAAAACATTGTCACTGCAAAATGATTTAGAAAATCATTTTATTTGTTAGGTTTACTGTTAGTAGTGACACTAGATGGTGCTGTACGTACCTTCTCGATGCGACAGATCCCTTGTTTGTCAAAATAGGCAAGGCTTTTATTACGCAACAATTCAAAGGTATGCAAATAACCGCCGTTTATATTATGTTATATTATATTAAATGTCCGAGTATTTCAATTCTTATTTACTTGAAATTTGGATATTTGTTTTGTGCTCAGAATACGGACGGACTAGCCACATTTATAACTGGTAAGCTCTTATTCATCTCGTCGATCTACTTGTAATTATTAATCTTCTTTTATGGATGCACTCGTTGCTTATTAGTGAGCAGAAAAATTCCATTACCTATCGATCTACATTTTTTTTTTGTCTAGATGTCTTTATGGATTATTTTGTACTGATTCAAACTTCAATGAATATATAATAATGCAGCGATACTTTCGACGAAAACACGCCCCCGGATGATGATCCCAAGTATATCTCTTCATTAGCTGCTGCAATATTCAGGGGCATGGAAAGTGGTGATGATAATGCTGTTTGGCTTATGCAGGTGAATCGATCAATATACACAACTCTCTCTCTCTCTCTCTCTCTCTCTCTCTCTCTCTCTCTCTCTCTCTCTCTCTCTCTCTCTCTGTCTCTCTCTCTCTCTCTCTCTCTCTCTCTCTCTCTCTCTCTCTCTCTCTCTCTCTCTCTCTCTCTCTCTTTCTCGAATTAAAAATTCAATTATTTGTTGATTTCTTTATGTGTTTTCTTTTTCCCAGTTTCATGCACGTTATACATGTTAAGTGTATATTTTTACACTTTATCGTACCTTTTTATTTGAGCTTTTGGTGTGTTTTAACGATAATTGGTGCTTAAAAAGTGGATTTATTGTATTTTAGGTACAAATTGGAATTGGAAAAGTATGGGGTCAAAACTACAATTTTGGAGAAAATATGGGCCAAAAGTGAAAAAATGAAAAATATGAAGCAATTAGCATGGGACGGCCGTCCCAGATTTACACTTAAAACTGGGACGGCCGTGTGAGAAGCAGAAGCCACCACTGGTTTTGGGACGGCCGTCCGAGTTTTAGTACAAAATTCGGGACGGCCGTCCGAGATGACGAAAAGGCGCAGTAAAGGAATCCTAACAGCACAAAGATCTTTTACGCAATTTCAAGAGCAACAAAGCAATAACGAAGACGAAGAATTCGAAGTTTCTAAGCATAGAGTTATCGTTTATGACTTATTTTATTTGCGTTTTTCCTTTAATCATGAGTAGCTAATTTTCTTATTTCTAGGATTTTATTTGGAACCCTATGTGGGATTTATGAACCCTTTTCTATGATTTTATGCAAGTTTTAATTCCGGATTAACATAGGAATATAGTTAATCTCTTAGGTAGCCATTATTGGGATTTGTGCTTAATGTCGTGTTCTAGAATTAATTGCATATAAATATAGTAATTGAATCTAGAGTATTAGAATCGTAATACACGCGGAAGCGGGTTATGATTATTT